GTATATATATGTATATACATATACATATGTGTATATATATATATATACACACACACACACACACACACACATATATATATGTCACTAGGAATTGAAACAGGGCTTTGTTATTTTCTTTGTTTTTTTATTGTTGTTTCATTTTATTTTACTTAAAAATTTTTTTCGTGTAAGAGTTTTGTTGACACATATATCCTTGGAAGCCAGAAGAGGGTATCAGTTTTCCTGGGCCTGGAGTTATAGATGGTTGTGAGCCACCATATGGGTGCTGAGAATTGAATTTGGGTCCCCTGGAAGAACAGCCAGTGCTCTAAACCATTAAGCCATCTCTCTAGTGTGAACAGGGCTTTCTACATAGCTCTATATAGCTTTCTATATAGCTCTGCCAAAAAAGATTCCCAAAGAAGATCTATTTAAACAAATGGAAAAGCCCCTTATATTCCCTTAATTGACATTATATTACATGATAAAGAAATAAAGGAAAGAAAGCATAAATATCTATACAACTACATTCTTAACAAAATATGACAGAAACACTCATGTCAATTATAATATGTGCAACTGGTCAAGTGGTCTTAGCTGGTATTTATAACTACCTTCCTCTATTACCCATTCTGTATTTTCTTCACCCTTGGCAAGCACCTCAGCAGGACTTAGCTCTTTTCCATACCCTCATTCCTGAAGGGTCTGTACCCTTTCTCATCCCTCCTGTATTAGGCTTTTGTAGTTTCCCATTGACTTTAATCACAGGACATGATAGCACCAAGAGATACCCTAAAGGATCTGCTATACTCCAGACATAATTTTTCTTACCCCTATTGTACAAAAGCAATCCAACTTCCCCATAATAATCTGGATCAATCACCCCTGCTAATACTGTTACCTCCTTTCTTAGCCTGTTAGCTTATGGACATCAGAAGCTTGAAGTGGTGGGGGGGTTGGGGGAGCAGGGAGCATGAGCTTCTAGTTCAATGGAACATTTGTTGTGGCTCTTAGCAAAAGCACTCCCTACTCTGAAACCAAAATTTCTAGCCAAAAGAACATAAGGTCACAGAAACAGGAAGCAAAAAAATTTACTAGTGGGGGTGATAGTGAGTGGAATTATTCTTTTTTCCACATTCCTTGACCCATGGATCTTGGCTATTGGAGAAACCATACCATATACTGGATACTGATTCTAACCATCTTCTGGAGAACCCTGCTCCAACCCTCCAGGCTGCTGCCACCAACTGGCTTTAACTGTGTCTTCAAAGTCCTTTCTGTCTTTTTGTTGGGCCAGCTGCTTCAGGGTAGCAGGGAACATGGTAAGACCACTATCTATAGGCCACTGGGACCATTTCCTACTGGTTTCGACAAGAGCAACAAGGATGACTACTACAGAAGACAAGGACCTTCTCTCTCAGGACCCATCTGTTTATTTGTTTGTTTGTTTGTTTTTGAAACAGGGTCTCACTATGTAGCTCTGGCTGTCCTGGAGTTCACTATGTAAACCGGGCTGGCCTAGAATTCACAGAGATCTGCCTCTCAGGATATATTGACAACAAGATAACAAGAGCAGACACCTGTCCTCTGCCATCAGGAGGTTCCTCCGGTGGTAGGCTACTGTGAGCCTAAGACTGAGGCACATCCCTGTGTGGCTCAGGGTGCTCTGTCTACCCATGAGCAAGTCCTCAGTATCAGCACCTCTCCTTGGTATGTCTTTTTGTCCATATGTTGAAGTGCCTGCCCTATGTCATCTCCTTGACATACTTCTCCAAAAGAAACACAATCTGTTTTTGATTTACAGTACACACCTTTAATGCTAGCACTTGGGAGCCAGAGCAGCATGTCTCTGTGAGTTTGAGGCCATCTACATAGTAAGACCCCTTCTCAAAGACAAAAACAAAATTTCTGAAGACTTCACAACTTAAACTATTAGAGGTATGAAATGATTTACAATTTACTAATACTGTAGGATGCAAAGTCAACATACATACACAACATACAAATTGTGTATGTATCTAACGAACTCTATCCTGTGCTCCTGATCCATCTCCATGTTCAACTGCAGACTGCGCATGACACGTACAGACAAGCACCGCTGGCCATGGTGCTGACTCACCAGCAGCAAGTCCATGGTGTTGAGACGGCAGAGTTCCTGGTTGATGCTGGGCGTGTTTGTGTGCAGCAGTGCAGCCATGAGGCGTGCACCATGAAGACGAGCATTCCCCAGGGGCTCCTCTAGCACACCAATAGTGGTCAGGATTGCTTTTTTCTGCAAACACAGGAGGCCTCACTCAGTTGGAGTCTTATAACAAACAGGGCCACTCATCTATGACATATCTGGCCTGAAGCAAGACAGGGTCATCTGCAAAACGGAATTCACAAGATGAAAGACCCACTTTCTCCCCTCAGAGCCAAAGAGTGGATAAGGGGACCAAAGGCTCCTTGGACTCTTACCTGGGCCACCAGGCCAAAGGACCAGTACTATGGCATATGAAATGTGTACAGTGTCCATGATGGAGCTAACAGTACCAGTCTTCTGGTAACCCAACTAAGGGCTGGAGCCCTGGACATGATGCTTGGCTGTATATGACCACAGAATTCTTTGGGGATTCTGAGCTAAGAGATGCCCAGTTAACACTATCAGAGGAGACCACTAAAGCTTGCTTCATTAGCATATAGCTTTTCCCCAGTTTTTTTTTAAAGTCTTTATATGTGTATATTATGTATGTGCTTATATGTGTGCATGCTCCTGGGCACATGTATGCCATAGTACATATGTGAAGGTCAGAGGGCAACTCTGTAGACCTGATTCTCTCCTTTCATCTTTATACAATTCCCAGGAATCAAACTCGGGTCATGAGGCTTGCACAGAAAACATTTTATGTACTCAGCCATCTCACTGGCTCCAAGCTTGTTTCATTAGATTGAATTCAGGTATTTTCTGATTCATCTGTGTCCATTTTTCCATAAACTGAATATTTGAGAGTGAGTAAACAGAGTCCTTGCCTCGATGAATCCTTATGTATTAGTGGGGGAGATAAGACAATAAACAAGTCAGTAAGTAAGGTGGGTGTACTAGAAAAGGGGCTGGCACTGTATATGGTAGAAGACTGTAACATGGGGCTGGGGTGCCACAGAAGAAGCCTGGTGGGCAGGAAGCAGTTGAGGGCCTTTGTGAGCTTCAATCTCCTTGCGCTAACACAAGAACTCCATGATCTGTTGATTGAACATCAGTTCCCCTGAGGTTCTTGGCCTACAGGAGCTCCAGGAGCCACCCTTGGCTAGGTGTACCCATGACCCAAAGGCTAGTTAACCAACATCATGCTTAGTTACCTGGGGGAGTCTGCAAATGCCCTACACCCAGGCCTCTCCTAGTAAAGGTAACATGGGTATTTCTAGCTAGCTAGTGGCTCTCCAGTTAGCATCTCAAAGGGCAGCACTGAAGCCCACTTAACTGTTTACTCTGCCTTGCCCTGTACATTATGGCAGCCGACGTCCCTACATGTCCCTAGCAATCTCTCCCACTGTTTACCTTTGGCGGGTTGAGCAGGAGCTGATGGAAATTCTTCAGCCATGGCTCGATGCCCTGCAGGATGCTGCTGCTAACAGAGTATGGCCTTTCCAGTCCCTGAGAAAAGGAGTCCACCAAGCCTTCTGTTCTGTGGATAAAGCCAGTAGACAGAGCCTTGGCAGACATGCCATGTCCCATAGACATCCCATTTACCTTGTCAACATTCTATTCAGTGTCTTCCAAAAGACTGTTTTTGGGTCTCCCAAAAAACAAGTCTGAAAAGGAACATTACTTCTACACATGATTACAATTTGATGACTGGTGTACTGAGAAGAGAAGGGCTCTCAGCCCTTTGGCAAAACAACTCTGGGTGAAGTCCAAAAGCCCAAGGGAAAGGAAGTGACATAGGCCCTGCTGTCACCGTAATCCCTAGCAGGGGTCCTGGCAAAGTCCTCAAGTGAGAAACAGAAGACAAACTGGCCACATAGTTTCTTGGCTTTTTCCAGACAATTCCTCTGATATATATATATATATATCCAATTACTAAAAGTAATATAAGATCAATGCAGAAAAGATCCTAAATAAATGCCGCATTCCACTAGGAGACCTGCTCCTTTCTGTTTCGGAAAGGAAAGACAAGAATTTGAAAGAAAGGAAAACAGTGGATTTAAGGAAGAGGGGAGGTTCAGGGAGTAAGTGAGGAATGCAGGGAGGGGAAACTGTGGGGGCAGGGTGAAATGTATAAGAAATGAATAAAAAAATGCTTTAATGTGAAGAGAAGTAGTTGACTATTTCTATTTTGCCTTTCTTTCTCTCTTAAAAAAATTAAAAGAGAATCTTAGTAGCCCTTGGCTGACCTAAAACCCACCTTTTTCGGCCTCATTAGTGCTACAACTAAAGGCATGGGCCACCATGCCTGGTTCTACTTCTGTTTTTCTAAATCTTACATTGTTCCCTCACATGCAGGCCTGAGTTTGGCTTTCAGAAGTGGTCTAGTTGTCCTGAATTTGTTAAAGAAATTAATATTCTAGTTGCCTAAGTAAAAAAAATGGTTGTTTATTTTTAGGCAGTGTACTAATATTGATGTATAGAGGTAGTTTTGGAAGGATGATTTACCCAACTTCTTGCCATTTTCGTGTGTGTGTGTGTGTGTGTGTGTGTGTGTGTGTGTGTGTGTGTGTG